CAAGGTGCCCAATAGTTGTTTATTGAATTGAATTTGATCATTGTGAAGACACCAGTTGAAAGTATAGTTAGAACCGTATGAGCCCAACACAGCTATTTTCCAGGCATAGTATATACCTTGTAATTGAAGCTATCGTGGAGACTGAGGCAGGACAATCACTTGATCCCAGGAATTCTGGACCAGCATGGGCAATAGCAATACCATCTAAAATTTTTCTTGAAAAGAAACTATAATAACTTGAAAATAAGCCCCACCAAGTAAAGTGCTCTCAAATTAGGATAATCAGTGGAATTACCTGGGAAGTGTTTTGGGGGGCATAGTTGATTCCATCTCCAGGACTGTAGGCCTAGGTATTTGCATTTTAAAGTTTTTCATGTAAGTCTCGTGATCATCCAACTTTAGGAACTCCAACTTAGTGTATTTTTCATTACATTTACAAAGGGTAAGATCATTCTTGTCAAGGTAGACCTATTACCTATTCTACTTTGCCATAAAAATGAGTTTTGTATGTTTTGGCCCACATCTGTAATCTCAGCTACTGAGGAGGCATAGATCAAGAGGATTATAGTTCAAGGCCACCTGCGGGCAAAAAAGAGCTAGCAAGACTATCCATCTCAATCAATAGGCCAATCATGGTGGCACTCCTGTCATCCCACCTATGTGTGGGAGGCATAGGTAGGAGAATCTAGGTCTGAGTCTGGCCTCCAGCAACAACAGGAGACCCTACCTGAAAAATAATAAAGCAAAATAAAAGGGGGGGATATGACTCAAATGGTAGAGCACCTGCCCACCAAGATGACACCCTGAGTTCAAACCCCAATATCACTAAAAAAAAGATTTCGTGAATTAGTTGTATCTGAAAGATTTCCGTTGAATCAGTAGTTTTTTTAGCAGACAGATACCAATGAGGAATAATACATAGATTACTCACGAGTCACGATACGGACAATTTACACATGGAAACTATCAGGTCCCTTGGTATGCAAAGCCCAAAGCCCTGGATTTATGCACTGTAGGAAAATAGTCACTGTGTCAGAGAAATGAACTCTTTAGGGCTTGAGTAGCTTTCTGTAATGTCTTCTTGGCTACTGTTTTGCACTAATCTGAAATATCCTTCATTGTAGGATTAGATCTTTTTATTTGCCAGGACTTGGGATCGAACCTGAGGCTTCACACATGCTAGGCAAAGTGCTTTACCACTGAGCTGTACTCCTAACCCCTCATCATACGATTAATACTCTACTAACCAGCCCTAAATATTTGGTTGACCTTGCCTGAATAAAGTTTACAAAGGAACAAAGTAAATGAAAACAGTCACAAAAATGCAGAGTATAGAAACACATCCTGATCTTTTAAAAATGACAGTGTCATAGCAGAAAAAAAAAAAGATTAAAATGTCATTGCAAACAAATGTGATGTGTGAACTGGGATTGATCATGGTTTAAAAAAGTGGAACCAACAAGGTATCTATACAGGGACTAGATATTAGATAACAGAGAAATTTCTAATTAACTTTTCCAGTTGTTTTCCTAGCTGCGAATCTGGAATTGTGATCATGTAAAAGAATGTTCTTATCTTAGGAGACACATGTCAAAATAAGGATGAATTATCCTGCAGCCAATGATGTGCCCAAGCTAAGTCCTACCTGCTCAGAGGCTGTTATTAGGTATTCCAGATTGTTGTGATTCCCTGACCCTTGGCAGCTTGAAAGCAGCCATGATGGGAATATTATGCCACAAGAATCCGCAAATGCTCTAACTAGAGCTTTGTCCCCCCTGGAGAGCTAATTTACCAGCATACCACTGCCTGCAGCATATTTTCAAATATTTTAGATACACACACATAGAACAAAAATGGCTGCTTGGGATGTAGCCTAGTGGGAGAGCAAGGCCCTGGGTTCAGTCCCCAGCACCTAAAAAAAAAAAAAAACAACAAAAACAAGCCTGGAACAAAAATGACAAAATTAACAGCCATTGAATGTACATACAGGGTATATGGTCATTCGTTATGCTAGTCCAGGAGTAACAGTTTCTGTAAAAGCCAAAAAAGTGTAAATATCTTCGGCTTTGTACGCCTTGCAGTCCCTGTGGCAATTTCTCTACTCCACAGCTTTGCCCCTGGAACGTGAAAGGAGACAAAACTTAAATGAATGGATGTGATTATGGCTCAACAAAACTTTATGTACAAAAATAGGGGGCTAGATTTAGCCTGAGGGCACAGTCCTTCACCTTTTCAGTACTTTTAAAATACTTTATAATAGATTATTGAAGAAGAAGAAAAAGTACTGGTTTTCAGAGCCTTCCTGTGTCCCCTGACACCTGACCCTTCCAAGTTGTGCCATACCAATGTTTTCATTCCCTGGTCACTCTGTATCTGGTCCCCTCTGTGTCTTTGCTCAAGCTGATCTCTTCCCCTATAATTCCCTCTCAACAGTCACAAGACTGCTTCAAACCCCACTCTGCAAAGCTTTCTGGTATCTCTTCCAGCTAAAGTTGATCCTTTCAACAGCGATAGTCCTTGATTTTGCTGCTTTTCCCAGGTTACCCTTAATTGACTCCTGATCCATAAATGAGAGAAGGCTCATTCTATTCTACAAATAGTAGGTGCTCAATACTGATTATAAACTGAACATCTCATTTCATCGTGCAGATACACATGTACCTACAGCTACCAACCTAGAAGTCCAGAGTAAGAGGAGAATATTGGCTTGTCTAATTTAGATTGGGGGAGATTAAAAATAAGAAAATAGGGGAGTGTCCATTCTTTCCATCTATTTATCTACCTACCTACCTATTTAGGCTGCTGTGTCCTAAGTCCAGCTATCTTTGAGGTTACTGTGTATCAACAAAACAGACTTGACCTGAATGGATAGCTTTCTTGACAACAGCTAAGGGATTGGAGGGACAGCAAAGCCATCTGAGTCTTGACAGTGATTTAGACACTGTCCAGCAATCTATGCTGTCTCTTGTAGCTCCCCTGCAACAATCCTACAAAGTTAGAATTGAGAATGGTAGAGTGGCTTCCATCAGATTATAAAGCAAAAATGGGAGATGGGAGTTTAAATATGGCTCCCTCTGATACCCAGCACTGTTTTAGTGCTTTCATATATTCAGTGATTGGCAAGAGACCAGGGAAACCTAGAAGGAATAGTCCCAAAGTCTGTATGCAGTGTGCAAGTATATGTGGAGTGCTGAGAATCTAGAGATTAATATGAAGTGCCTTTGGACAAGACATCAGAAAACATGGCCACTCTCAGCTTTGCCATTCTTCATCTATGATCTTCAATCACTGAGTTTCTCTGGACCTCTGATCTCTTGATTGTATAATTAGAGGAATAAACCAGTGCAGTTCTTTTATTCATGTCTCATGCATTATGCAGTAAGTAGCTTGAAGTCTCATAAAGCGTAGATAAGTGAATGGGAAATTAAAATACAATGCTGTATAATAGTACTGTGTTCCAGAGGTGCACAAAGTACTCTTAAGAGCCTAGAGGAAGAAGGTACCTAGCCACTTAGGGCTGAGTACATTCCACCCAGGCAGAATTTGGGGAGGTGATATGTCAGCTCTGAAAACTGCAGTAGTTCTTAATACATGAAGAAAGAGGGGAAGGAGGGAAAATGAAGTTAGGCAAGAGAAAGATTGGAGAAAGGACTTCGATGCCTCCTGAAAGAGCTTGGGCTTTTAAGACTATTGGAATGGAAGGCAGTTGTAAGCAAGATGATATTTGCATTTTATAAAGATCTTGGCAGTGTGGTGTGGCAGATGAAGTCCAAGGGTGCAGAACTGGTGGTGGAAAGATTCTCTAAGAGGTGATTGTAAAAAATAACCCAGCTTAGGGATGATGAGAGCCTGAACTAGTGTAGCAGCAATGGGAAAGAAGACCAGAGCATAAAGTTGAGAGCTTGAGAGCTTCAAAGGAAGTAAAACCAGTAGGTCTTTATTGACTGTATCAGTGAAGGTGGCTGCAGGTAACTTAAGTCATAGTCTCAGTGATTTAAGACAACAAAGTTGGGTCTCTTGCCCACACTACATGTCTGTCACAGGTAGTAGGGGCACGTGGTGCTCACTGCAGTCACTTGGGCCCAGGCTGAGGAGCACCTCCACCATGACTGCTCAGTATGTAGAGAGAAAGCCCTAGCAGGACGCACATGCACAGTTCAGTGCTGCAGTCCAGAAGTGATCTGCATCATCTACAACTCTTAGACCAGCCCCACCCAGTCTCAGCGAGCCAGAGTTCAGTTGTGCAGGAGCAGTGGTATGGCTGCCCAGTGCCTAACAGGATATGACAATGAAGAAGATTCCCAGATCCTGACAGAAGGAATGAGGTGGGCCTGGGAGGCATTTCCTAAAAAGATGGAATTGGGATAAAGGAAACTGAGCAGACCAAGAAGTTAGGAATCTTTGCCAGCTCTAAAGCGTAACCATTTTATTGGTTCTCTCTTTGATCAAGCATAGGGATTGGTAGTCAGTGTCATTTGTCAGCAAGAGATTATTCTTTACAAAGGGTGTTGTGGTTCATCCTTCCCAGACAAAATCTTTTGGTTTTAAGTATGTTTCATTCAGGTCTAATAATGTGTGTCTTTCCTGAGTTTTCATGTGGACTATTGTGTCAGCATACGGTATTTTTTTAAAAAGTTATGATCTAGATGCTAGTGAAGGCTGCTGAATTCAAAATGCCAAAGATGTAAATGCCCTCTGCCTTCATTACCGCCATCCCAGCACGGCACTTCTCAGCAGCTCAAGGGTGGGAGTCAGGGAGGAGGTGTAATTAGGCTGGTTGGAGCCATTTTGCTGCTCTGGAGCACAGACACAGAGCAGCCTGGGGAGGCGTTAGTGCCTGCAGACCACAGGGAATGATGTCCTCTTTCCGCAGAATAATGAGCAGAAATGCTAAATCCACAGTTTCTCCTCTTCTTTGTTTTCTGCCCTCCGCAATTTAATTGTAGTCCTTACTGTGCACCCTAAAAACTGACTTTTATTGTGCATTTGTTTCTTAACAGTTGCGAGAAACAATCAAAGCTGGCAAAGGTGTGACTTCAGCTATTGACCTGTGTCGTTACCATGGAAACAAGGCACTGGCGGCCCTGGAGAGCTTCCCTCCCTCCCAGGCCAGATCAGCTTTAGAAAACATTGTGTTTGCTGTGACCAGGTTTTCATGACACCAAATTTAAAAGGCACTATTGTTCCTTAGCTGAAAAACCTAGAGAACGAGATGATCAGGAGAGCTTTTGTGATGAGATATCTAAATGTGTTAATGACATTTAAAACATACGTTTTTCCTTCCTTTTATCACATTGCTAAATGAATACTGCCTTATTTTTGGAACCTACAAACAAAATTAGAAGAAAAAAAGGTCAAACAGTTTTCACTTGTCACGCCAGAAGCACACTTGAGGCTGCAGTAGCAGAAATAATTAATGAGATTCGCTCCTGTGACCTCAGCAAATGGACAGGAAATAAGTCCTTATTGATTGGACCAAGCCAGGGATGGCGCCAGGGCGGTGGCCTGTGGTTTCCTTGGAGAGAGGACAGAGCAAGCTGGAAGCTGCAGGTGTCAAGAGAAACACTGTTAAGACAGCTGGGGAGGACTATCAAATCAAAACCCACTGACCATTTGGCCATAACAGAGGATAGTTCAATGAATAAGCACGAATATACTTGTCATCTTGCAAAAAAATGTATTTATGGAAACAATGTTAATATATTTTGTGCATTGTTATTTTTTGTAAGATTGGAGGGGGGAGATATAGCTGAAAAGTAGCCATATTTGGAGTAGGAGATTAAAATGTTATTAAATGTTAAATTAAGAATTGTCTGTTTTTCTTTCTTGAAGATCGTTTTTTTCCCAAATACATTTCACAGAATAAAACGTTTTTTAATGAAAAAGGAGCTTTTTTTCAAGTGAAATGTATCCATTTGTAATGCTTTGATTTAGAGAATACCTCTCATTTTTACAAATTTCAGAAATATATTTGCTGTACTGGGGAATTCATTGGTGAGAGTTTTGTTTTAACCTCAGAACGTCAAATTTTGTTCTTGAACCACAGACATCCAATTTCATCAGGAACATAAGCGATCTCACAGGCCTGTAATCAGACACCGTCTGTGTGCGGTTCACAGGAGATGATTTTTGTGGTTTGCACGCATGCAATAGAAGAACACCATTGACAAGAAGTCTGAATCTACATAAATGATCTAGATGGAGACTCAGCTACCTTTCTTCCTTATGTGGTGTAATTGCAGTCCTATCTGGAGACAGCAAACAGATTTTATTACCTACTTCACTCAAACACGAAGGGAAGTTATTTTAGCTAAATCTCTCCCCGCAAAAGTTTTATCCAGGCCTAGTATGTGGCATTCAGTGAAGAAAAATGTAAAGCTACAGAGGTTAAGGTATTGTATTATGAAATACTTTTAAGTGAACTTGTTATAATTGTACAGTTTATGCTACTACAATCTGTAAGCCTATAAATTTCACTTACAAGAACACTCCAGTCTTCCTTTGAAATGTCTTACTGAATTGGCTTAATTAGTAACTATGGCTAAAATGCTTTTGATCCCACTAGGCTGTAATCATTAACTTCCACAAAGAAGGAATCGGTGTTCTGGTCGGGAGGAACTCCAGGATCCTAACACAGGTGCTGCAGGGCACAAGACCTGGGGTTCCTCAGATTCTGGCTTAGAGATCCAGTTTACTGTATGGCCTTGAGCAAGTCACTTCCCTCTCAGCCTCGGTTTCCTCATCTGTAAAATGAGATTAAATAAGGTAATGTATGAAGTCCCTTCCAGGTTTGTCTTATTTTCTCAAAGTTTACCATCTCTGACTGTGTAAATAGCAAAGGTGTGTGAGATTCAGGGAGGAGGGAAATTTAGGCCTCTGAAGGAATGCAGAAAACTTAATGGTGAACTTGCTAAACTGCCTCACAGGCCACCTAGATTATTCCAACTGTCCCTTAGGTGACATGGACCCTGGACTGTTGTGTTTCAACCTCCACCTTTCTGCTTTCTTTGGGACCTTCCTACCTCCCTCTCATCTTCCCAGTGGCTCTTCTGTCCTATCCTCTGGCCCATCCCTTTTTTTTTTTTTAGGTGTGGATGACCAAGCCTCATGAATGCTGCACAAGTGCTCTACCACTGAGCTACATGCCCAGCCCTATTCCATCCCCTTTACCTTGCTATCCAGACTCCCTGCCTCTGGGTCCCAGGGAGCAGGAGCCCCGTCCTCTCTGTTAAATGACAGAGTTCTACTTGGCCCACAGGGTGGCTCTGCCTCTCTCCTCAGGTCCTCCTTAGCAAAGCTCTCACCTTCTGAGCATCTTGGCAAGCTTTTATAAAACCTGACATACTGACAAATTCACTCTAAAGTATAAAATACAGAGAACTTTTCTCCATTTCCCCCTTCTTCAGGGATATAGCTCATACTAACTTCTAATAATTTCAGACAACTCTGAGAAGAAACTCGGACACAAAAACATTCCTTAATCACACCACTACCCACACCCAGTTTCTTGGTAGAGGGAAGAATTCATTCATTAGCCAGTGTGGCCTGCTTTCCTCCACCTGGGCTCCTCCAAACCTCACTTCAGGCCCATGAGCCCACCTGCACTCTTGTCTGTCAATTTTTTCTTTATTACAGATAAAAAAAAACAATGCATGTGAAGATTCCTGTATCCCAGGGACTGTTAAGGGCCTTAGCTGTACTGTCTTGTTTTCATTCCCCTGCCTGTCCCGCCCCTGGGGAGTAGATAGTGCTCCCCACTTACAGATGCAAAAACCAGCTGAAAAGACTTTGGAAGCAGTCTTCTGGACTGACTGGCTTGACCCCACCTCACCCCCAAGGGCCTTTCCGGGTAGTCCTTCTCTCTTCTTTTGCTTCTCTTTCCAAATAAAACTTTCTTCCTTTCCAAAAAGCTAAGCCTGTACCCCCCATTCCCCCATCTCCTTCATATTCCACTTGAGCCATACCTCCAGTTCATTTTGCTGGGGTTTTTTGGGAGATGGGGCTCTTTCAAGCTATTTCCCCAGGCTGACTTTGAACCACAATCCTCTCGATGTCGGCCTCCCAAGTAGCTAGGATTGCAGGCGTGAGCCATGTCCTCTTCCTGAATCTTCTGTTCTCTTCTGCTGGCTATGAATGTGCTCAGCTCTCCCTGTGCCTAAAATTCCTCACTTTCCCTTATTTACTCCTCCATCTCCATTTTCTCTTTTTCAGTTTTATCTGCAAACCTTAACTTTCAATTGATTCTTCACTATCAAGTCACCCACCGGCACTTTGGATGCTCAAAGAATACTTGTTGAACAGGCATATCAGGTCCCTCTCTGCACCGCCCTCCTCAGGTGGCTTCTTCAAGATCGCAGGTGGTGGCCTCAAAACCCTGTCTCTGTGCTCCACCCTCACTCACCTGAGGCCTTTCATGTCACAGGTTGCCCCTGGGCACTTGTGACCCTCCTAGTTCACATTCTATCTCTCTTCTCTGGCTACCCTTCTTCATCTTTCTTTCTCCACCTCAAGAACCTTTTTTTGGTGGTACTGGAGCCTCACGATTGCTAGGCAGGCTGTCTACTGCTTGAGTCATTCTACCAGCTCTGTTTTGTGTCGGGTATCTCTGTAATCTAGGATTACAGGCATGAGTCACCAGCACTCAGCTACTTTAATTATTTTTGCTGTGCTCAGAATCCAACGCAGTGCCTCACTAATGCTAAGCAAGGCTCTCCACCACTAAGCTATGTAAGTGCATAGCCCCTAAATCTCTTTTTTTTTTTTTTTTTGGTGGCACTGGGGTTTAAACTCAGCCTTACACTTGCTAGGCAGGTTACTCTTAGCGCTTGAGCCACTCCACCAGCCCCTAAATCTTCTTTTAAATTCTCCAACTTAGAAACACTGGTTTCTAGCATAAGAACAGTATCTTTTATTTACTGTTTAGATGATGAGCATTCAACTCTCATTGATTAGTTACATTATTTCTTTTGTTTGTTGGTTTGGTTGTTAATGGACAATCAGTATAATTCATTAATCTTATTTGACAAAAGGTATGACACTCACACCAGCATGATGTCTCTTTTGGTATGACGAGTGAAGGATAAATTATGACAGCAATAAAATAAAAGTTATTAAAATAAAACATGAGGTGAAATTTATGTAGGGATAAAGACTACTACTTGTAAGCACAAGATAATGCTGACTGAGGTAGGCATTACAGGTGACTCACACCTGTACTCCTAGGAGGATCGTGGTTCAAAGCCAGCCCAGGCAAATAGTTCATGAGACCCTATCTTGAAAAAAACCCATCACAAAAAAGGGCTGGTGGAGTGGTTTAAGATGTAAGCCCTGAGTTCACTTGGCAAACTTGAAACCTTGATCTAATTTTTGAGTATGCTGGGATATTTACAGATATCTTGTCAGTAAATGAAAATATGATTAGTTACTTTGAAAGGAGATAAGGATATTGGCCATCATTGAATGTAGTAACTTGTTGTAAATGCTACTTGATAACACTAAGTGCTCCAGATTTTGTCACTTATGTAATGTGACTATCCAGTCACACCTAAAAAGAAAGGATCAGTGATATTGTTAGGTTCACGGTCGCCTCCAATGTTTGTGACTTTATCTTATTTATGCTGGGCCCAAGACTTAGACAACACCTACAAACATTGTCTAAAAGCACATACATTAGTGCAAAATGCTCCAAAAAGATGGACAGCATTTTTTTTAGGCCCTATATATGCAACACATCCAATTCTGATGACCAGAAAGTAATTTCATAATCCTCGATGATCTTTCAAAACATGACAAGAGAATACCAAGGGTGTCTTTGGGAACTTTCATTAATCAACAAAATTGCAACCAAAGGATACTTCAAGGGGAAAAAAAAGGGGGAAACCAGGTACTTACATACACCTGTAATTTTAGCTACTTAGGTGGCTGAGATTGGGAGACCCCAAATCCAAAGTAACCAGAGCAAAATAGACTGGAGGTGTGGCTCAAGTGGTAGAGTGCCTGTCTAGCAAGACAGAGTCCCTGAGCTCAATCCCCAGTACCATCAAGAAAGGAGAAAGAAAAACAAAGGTGGAGGCATGGCTCCTGCCTTAGCAAGCTGCCGAAGCCCTGAGTTCAAACTCCAGTACTACCAAAAAAATAAAAGAAGCAAAAAACACTATCTAACCAGAAGGTCCATCACTAATGAGGAGAAACTTGCTTTTCAGAAAACTTTTTTCAAGTGCTTCCCTGGAGCTGCAGTTTTGGAAGTTCCCATCCTACTCCTTCAATTGTCTTCCCACTTTAAATACTGTCATTTTGATTCCTCTCTGACCGACAGAACCTCCAGCATTCCCCTCTAGAATCTATACCTACTGCCTCCATCTAGAGGTGCATACCACATCACCAAGGCCAGCAATGGACTGGGTTGATTAATAATCCATCCAGTATAACTGAACACCTGGGACATTGTTATTTTTTTAAATAATAATAAAAGTTTGAGGATATGTTCTCTTGTTATTAATAATTTCCATTGCCGGGTGCCAGTGGCTCACACCTGTAATCCTAGCTACTCAGGAAGCAGAGATCAGGAGGATCAAGGTTCAAAGCCAGCCCAGGCAAATCGTGCTCAAAACCCTGTCTTGAAAACACCTGTCACAAAAAAGGGCTGGTGGAGTGGTTCAAGGTGTAGGCCCTGAGTTCAAA